GGGTCTTTGTCCATCACATCATTCTTGTAATGATGTGATCCCGTTATCAATGACATCCAATGTCCATGGTCAGAAAACCGTAACCATCTATTGATCAACGAGCTAGTCAACTAGAGGCTTACTAGGGACATGGTGTTGTCTATGTATCCACACATGTATCTGAGTTTCCTATCAATACAATTCTAGTATGGATAATAAACGATTATCCTGAACAAGAAAATATAATAATAACTAATTTATTATTGTCTCTAGGGCATATTTCCAACATAAATAGCCTCGTTGTGTAGTAATGCATGTTGAACATTTATGCGAATATGTGCTGCACATTTGTAAAATGCACACTAAACATTTTTAAACGCATGTTAAACCTTTTTTTCCAAAAAAGTCATGAACATTTTTTTAAACATGAAAATATTTGTCAAGTGTTAGAAATTAGAGCATTTTAAAAAAATGGCATGAATATGTATTTTATGTTATGTCCATTTTCCTAAAATTGCAAGAACAAGTTTATTTCATTTCATAATTTTTCCATAAATTTCATGAATATATGTTTAAATTCAGAAATATTTTTTAAATGACATTAATAAAAAAATGAAGTGTACGAATATTTTTTACAAAATCATGTGAATAATTTTTTACATTTTCATGAAAAATTTGTTAAAATATGTGAATAATTTTACACAAGATGAACATTTTCATGGTGTGATTTCTTAAAATTGTGTAAAGAATTTTTTACATTGCATGAATTGTTTTGTAATGTGTTGTGTGATTTTTTTTAAATCATAGTAAATTAATTCTTAAACACAAATATTTCGAAAATTTCGAAAATAAACAAAATTAAAAACGAAAAAGGAAAAAGAATGAACCGACGTACATATTGACGACTGAAAATGAAATAAAAACGTACGTTTGCATAATTTTTGTAGATATACAGAGCAGGCACATATGCTCATAAACTATATGCATATAATCGCCTCTATGAATGCACGCACATACATTCTATCATGATGAGCACTTCCAAAAAACTGAGCCTACTAGCGCCTTACTATTGACGGAAACGTTACCCCCACTGAGTGATAGCCTGCCTTTATGAGATATCAAAGCGTCAAACCTAGGGTTTGATTCCTGATGGGCTGGAAGTATATCACTGCCTTCTTAACCATCCAAACACTTCTCATATAAACAACGACCTTATGAAGTGAACAACACTAGACACACATGCTTGTGTAAATTAAGCGTAGATGTGAGGTTGTCAGAATTGCGATTTGAATCGGATCGGAGCTTAGATGGTAGGATCGCAAATTGTAGAATCTTCACTATCATGATCGTACAAACGTAGATTCTGAGAACCAGAATCATAGAATCAGAGGGATAAGTTTGGATCGTAAAGTCGTAGACTCGTATAACAGAATCGCGATTCTGACAACAATGTGTAGGACGCTGCCGCACACGTACATTTGCCGGGCCGGCCCATTTGTCGTGTGTTGTACGTGAGCGCGAAATGCACCTCGCAGTAAGGGAGTTATAGACACGCTAAGCACACGTTAAGCTCCGATCCTACCATCTAAGCTCCGATCCAATTAGTAATATATCTCCATCACAGATTAGTAATAAAGGATAATAACACACGCTAAGCACACGTTACAGATGGCCCATTTCCACATCTACACACACACATTACACCACCATAAATCATCTTCTAAAAGCAGTCGGTTCCAAACACCGGCCCGAAACAAACAACGCAGCGTTATAAAGAAAAGAAAAAACAAGCAAAAAAGGCCCATATCTCTCTCGAGGCCTCGCGGCAAGCCCTGTGCTCTTTCTTCCAGAGGCCCAAC